CCCATCATGTGTCATATGAGTCAGAGAAGAGAAACATTAATGAGATAATTTTTTTTTCAGCACTGATACTTACTTTCCTGAAAAGACCTATGTCAAGAACGCGTAATACAGTGTTACTGGTTTAACTGAATGATACAAAACCACGTTGAGGAACTGGGCTGTCAAATGGTGTTGATCTGCAAGACTCTTTTTTCTGTTACAGAGGAAAAAACAAAATGGCATCAGGGACGGTAATGAATGGCACTTCTTCAGGAGGATCAAATGATGTGAGCCTGGAGGAACCAAAGAAGATGACAAGGGAAGACTGGAGGAAAAAGAAAGAATTAGAAGAACAAAGAAAACTAGGAAACGCACCTGCTGAAGTGGATGAAGAAGGAAAGTAAGTTTTATTAGATCTATGGTTATTCTAAAGCTCCTGGTTAAAAATGTCTGTTTTCCTGTTGCAATTACAGAATAATCATGAGGGTGATACATGATTTCTACGTGAGTTATTATAGAAGTAAATAGTTGGACTTTGTGAATTTGCTTTTAACATTCCAGTCATTCTCAGAAAACAGGTATTTTCAAAAAAAATGTAGGTTCAGTGTGTATCTGTTGTGATCTACTGACAGTAGATTTACTGCTGCTAAAAAGTCCCATCTGTGCAGCTACTTAGAAGTGGTATTTTAAAAGTGACCAAAACGTAGTACTGGGGAACTCTACTGCATATCTTATCTGTTCCCTCTCTCTTGCTTGTACAAAGCTCGTTGTTTCTGAGAAGAGAAATGTTACTATTTTTGTGGTCAGTAACATTGCATAGAATAAGGTATTTGATTTGGAGTCAGGATTTTAGGTCAGTTAGGTGCCAGCAAAACCTCAATGAACATTTGTGCTTATTTAGTTAAATTAGACCCTATTTTGCAATGTATTGTAGCAAATTCATTATTTTATTGTTACTCCTAAAGCACTGAACTTTAATGTGAGAGTTATTTGTAGGCTAAGTTGTTGTGGGGCTTTTTCCCTATGCCGTGTATTTATTACACAACCTCTTTTACAGAGATATCAATCCTCATATTCCTCAGTACATATCCTCAGTACCATGGTACATAGATCCCTCTAAAAGACCTACACTAAAGCATCAGAGACCTCAGCCAGAGAAGCAGAAACAGTATAGTTCCTCTGGAGATTGGTACAAACGAGGAGTTCAGGAGGTATGCAAAATATTTTTGTCATAAAATAAAGCTTTGGTGTGATTTCATGAGGAAATAAGAATAAGAGACATTGACTGCCTATGAAGACGTAACTCTGGTTATGTGTTTTTGAGAGGGGCAGGAGCTGGGAATTACTTAGCAGGCAAGTTGCAGTGTTTGGTAATAATCAAAATATGTATTCTGGGTTTGGGTACACCACACACACTTTAGGTGTATTGAAAAAATTAATTAGTTGTTGGGAACAGTTATACGAATCTTGCACAAGTTTGTACAACACTGTCTTTTTTTGCTGTTTAGCATGCTATAGCAACTCGATATCGTAAAGGAGCTTGCGAGAACTGTGGTGCATTGACACACAAAAAGAAAGACTGCATGGAGGTAATCTTAACTTTTGTTGATGTTTTAATGGTTTTGAAAACAACGTGAATTCTAATCTTAGTGAAAAATAGCTAGCTATAGATAAAATAAATTACTAGTTTTGAAAAAGCTGGTTTGGTAAAGGTTACAAGTATTGAAAGGTGGCTTGAAAATTTCTAAAGAAATTGTTATATAGGAAAAATGAAGGGAAAAAGTGCTACTATTCAGGGTTTTGCTCATCAATGCTATTTGTGATAAGTGCTGCAATAATAGGTGAAAATGTTTAGCTCTTCATGGTAATTTGCGTTAACTCAAGCGCTGCTGTGCCTGTCTTTCTGTTTCATGTCAGCTAGGAGCCATCCCCAGAAACTGCAGTTTAATTGCTTTCTTAATTGTGGAAAATGGAGTTAGAAATTGATGGGGCTTGGAGCCAGTTGCACTACTTTAAAATACAGAAATTAACTGTTTGCATTTATTTACAATTCACAGGCTTATAGTGCTGAATTTGACTGGCTTTGGAAGAGCTCGATTGATACTGTTTTTAAAGAGATACCTGAGTGAGTGACGTGTATTAGTCTAATGGACTGATCCAACCACTTTTTTCTTTCCTTTCAGAGACCCAGGAAAGTTGGAGCAAAATACACAGGCATGAATATTGCACCAGATGAACATGTGCAGCCTCAGCTGATGTTTGATTATGATGGAAAGCGAGATCGTTGGAATGGTTATAACCCAGAAGAGCACATGAAGATTGTCGAGGAATATTCCAAGGTTGATTTGGTAAGTAGCTGCTATGGTTTATTGGGGAAAGCTTCAGTGTTTGGCTTGGTTGGAAGGAGGAATAATTGTTATGTGCACTGTTAATACATAGCATACTTATTATATAATACATAATAATACCTTGTGCTGTATTCAAACTGAAACAGTAAGGCAGATTCTGTGTTTGTTAGCAAACTTTGCTTAAACTGAAAATTCAGATCAGAACTGGCAACTGAGTATGGGTATGCACAATAAATGAAGTATGTCTCTCCAGATTACTTACTTTTTAGTAGATAAGCCTTAGAATTTATTACCCAAGATGCAGATTGTATTGCAGGCAAGAAAGGAATTTATTATCTGTCTGTATTAGAGCTGATAAATCTATATCTATTTTGTAACCTCATTCATGTTATTTTACTTATGCATCCTTTTTGTTACCATGATGGAGCAATGGCCTATTTGTATGTGCCGCTGTGCAGATCGGCACCTTGCAGTTGCAGTTAACTTTCTATCTGTATGCACCAAATCCATGTGGACGCTATTAACTTTTTAGAAGAAAAAAAAAAAAAGTAGTTCACTACCTGGGCTGGACGTTAGGGCAGTTCCAAAAGGTAGTTAGGTGCCTAACTGACTCCCATCGGTGCCTGGCGCTCACTATTTTCCTATAGTGCATAGGAAAGCTAATGCTAAATGTGATCTAATCAGTGTGTATAAATGGCTAATGGGAGTGTTTAAAGGCAGAGCCAGACTCTTCTCAGTAGTATCTAGTGACAGGACAAGAAGCAGTGGGCACAAATTGAAATACAAGAAATTCTGTTTACACATAAGAAAAAAATGTTCTATTGTAAGGGTCATCAAACAGTGGAACAGCTTGTCCAGTAAGGCTGAGGAGTCTCCATTCTTGGAGGAATCAAAACCTGCATAGACATGGTCCTGTGCAACATGTTGTAGGTAAACCTGCTTTGAGCAGGGGGATTGTCCTTGGCGGTCTCCAGAGGTACCTCCAACATCAACTGTTCTGTGGTTCTGTGATGTCAAACATATACGAAAATTCACTACGTGCTGCTTTAGAAAAGCATGTTTGTTCTAAACCCTATTCTAAAATAAGCTATCTCTTTCTTAAATTAGGATGCACATAGTAATGGTAGAGCTTTGTAAGCTCTAGTAAACTGTTTCATTTAACAGTATAACATAAAATAGTAAAATAGTTAGTGTATATGTAGCTTCCTTTCCTTGAAGCTCAAAAAAACAATATGGTAAAGCATAGGAGTAAAGGAGAGAAGCTCTAGGCTGCTGGTTTTCTACAAGCACCCAGAGAATTAAAACCTCATTTTTTTTTTGCAATAGGGATTACACTTTAAATGATAGCAGTTACAAGAGATGCTTATGGTAAGTATTACTACACACTTGCTATTAAAAAGAAATAATTAACAAATGTATTTTCATGGTACACAGGCCAAACGTACACTGAAAGCCCAGAAGCTTCAGGAAGAGTTAGCATCAGGAAAGCTGGAGCAAGTGGTAAGTAAACTAAACCCTAGTGTATGTATGTTTAGGCCAAATTAAAATGCAACAGGTTACTTCTACTCTCTGATGCTTTTATTCTCTATACAGGGACTGCTGTTGGTTTTTATGCCCTTCAGTAATTCAAAGATTTTCCTAGCACCAGCATATTCTGTGTCACATTCAAGAATTTGAAGCATCTTTTTTCAAGTGAGAGTGGCTTTGCTTTCCCCTTATGGGCAAAAATTCTGTGTGGTTATTATTCTTGCTGAAATTAACGACATGGATTTTTTCAGTCAGAAAAACTTGTTTTCCATGTAGTAGTTTTGTTTATGTACTGAAATGCTTTTTTGTATTTAAAGATTGTTAGGTCTGACTAATGTTGAGGTAATGACTATTACGTGACTGTGGATTGTTTTAGCAATGCTTGGTATAAATTGGAATAGGAAGGTATTTTCTCTATCTTGGAACCCAACTTGTTTCTTCTTCAGTCATTGCTATGACTATTTGCTTTGTCTGTGGTTATTTGAAGGCTGAGCATATATGTATTTCCCTCTGGCTTACAACTCTGCAGAGTTTGCATCTTCCACTAACTTCTACAAGCTCCTCTTACAAAATTCTAATTTTAAAAGGCATTTCTGATAATATTCTAAGTTTATAAAATGGGGAAAAAGTAGAGCCTGCTGCTGGGCAGAAGTAGGGTTTTTTTAATCAATATGGTAAGAAAAAAAACACCAAGCAATGTGACACATACGATTGGGCCTCCATTTTCTAGAGGTTGTCACATTGCATTTTGTCACTAGATGGCAGAGTGAACTTAATCGCTAACCCAGCCTTAACTATGGCATTCTGACCTTCCTGATAGGAAAAATTCTTTCTCTTTTTGATGCCTGTTTTCATGGTGACAAGGCAACATTGTTGGCTTTGTATACTTAGTCCTTACAAAATGGACCTGAAAGAAGGAAAGTGTGTTTGAAACATAAGAATTGTCTCTGATGGAGAAGACCAAGACTGATGCCAGTTTGCATAGTCAGTGCTTGCCAGTTTGCTGGTCAGTCTTCCAGGACTGACAGTTGTTTTCATTTTTACCACTGCAAGTATTCTCAAGTTAGAAGCTAAGCAGGTTAAAAAAAAAAATTCTGGCTATGTTTCTCCAGATTAAATTATGGCTTCTGATTCATGCTGAGTATTTGTGTCAATCCTAACTAAATACTTGCATATGTGTATCTTCTTAATTATTTTTTTAAGCTTTCAGAGTTGAATTTTGTTTATATTTGCATGATATGAAATATTCTAGTCTAAAGTGTAAAGTCTAGTCTAAAGTGTTCAAAGGTATAGTAAGCTCTAAATAACAGTGACAGTTCTAGAATTTGCCGTTCTTGCAAAGGCTTGGAAACGTAGTTGGGAATACAGTGAGAAGGTCTCCAACATGCATCTGTAATAGAGACACAAGCTTTTTCGTAGAACATTCAAAAATATAGCAGTCTTTGTGCATTTTGTGCCACAGGTAAATTGTATTTTGCATCCAGCATTAAAGCTCTGCTTTGATTGCTCTTTATCTCCCTGCCATGTTTCCTCTCTCCACTATCTTGTCTTCCCTGCTGATGTGCTCTTTCTTTGCTGCAGAACTCCCCAAGACACCAGTGGGGAGAAGAGGAACCAAATTCACAGACAGTAAGATGATTACCCACTGCATCACACCATGGGCAGAAAAAAGGACGTGTAGTTAGCGGAACAGTGAAACAAGGGTGGCATAAGGGTTTCAATGTTGGGTTCATGCTGCTAGCTGCCTGTTCTTTTGGGCAGAGGTTGTTGGATTTGATAGAGGGGTTTTTGGTTTTGTTTTAACTCCTGTGTGTTGTCAAACATTAGAGATGCAAGCAAATAACTTTTTTAATATGTGGTATATTTTGCCCAAGATAACTGTTTTCTTAATATCATCACAGTTATGTTTTTGTAACTGTTTCCATATGAGGAAGTGGAATAACAAGACTATTTCTGAAAACTGTTGAATGTTAGATTAGCATGTTACTAGCATGACAGCACACTTAAGCCCAAGTAAGTGATGCTAAGTTTTAACTACAGGGATTGCAGAATTTTTAATGAAACTGCTAAAACCAGATTCTCGTACTTGTCTCTAGAGTGAATGTCCTCTTTTATTTAGAAGTTTCCCATCTCTCCTCAGGAAAGAGATCATAACAGTGAAGATGAAGATGAAGATAAATATGCAGATGACATTGATATGCCTGGGCAGAACTTTGACTCTAAAAGACGTATCACAGTTCGAAATTTACGTATTCGGGAAGATATTGCAAAAGTGAGTAAAGAAGTCTTTACATATGTTCTTTGGTATTCATGAGAGTTAATTTCAAAAAATTGTATGCTGTTACTAATGAGTTTGCATATGGGTCTTGGGGTTTGGAGGTTAAGGTCTGTTCTCAGTTCTATTCCTGTTCACGTTACGACTTCAGCAACGTCATCCTTTTACACAGATAGACCTCTTTAAAATGTCTAAGCTGAGGGATACAGTAGTAACTTGAATTCTTTTAAAATCATAAATACCAAATATCTTGTATGCTGTTTTCTTTCCCTTAGTACTTGAGGAATCTAGATCCAAACTCTGCTTATTATGATCCCAAAACAAGAGCAATGAGGGAGAACCCGTATGCCAATACAGGCAAGAATCCAGATGAGTAAGTTAAAACACGGTCATGCTTGTGTATCTGACAAAAAGTGCTAAAAATGAGATTGATAGTTCTGTATTTTCTTTCACCTGTATGTCCTTTTACTAATGAATCTCTAGTCAGTTATGGATAGAAGTAGTAGTAAACATGGAAAAATTTGTTTTATTTAGCAGGACTTTCTGTTTTAGTATATAAAAGCGTTGTTTTAGAATACTGGCCCTTAGTCTTCAGGGATACGTGGACCACCGTTTAGTGTAGTGATCTGTACAAGGACTAGAACACACTGCTGTATCTAGAGGTGATACCTGTAAACAGTAATGATGTTTATGTAAAGTATTTCAGTAACCAAATCTTAAACTTAATCCCTTGTTTGTTGGGAAGCATTCAGCGCTGGAGAGACTAGTATGGAATATCTGTGGTACCTAACTAAATACGTGAATTAGGAGTAAAAGCTCCTCATATATTCATGGAGTCTGCATAGAAAAAGTCTGAAAGCTTTGGCATTGTCTAGATAGACAACTTAATTAAAGAATGCCATAGGCTGCCTTTTGGCTGCACATAAGGCGGTCTCACTTAAAACCCGAGTCAAGCACTTGAACTGTGACCCTACTGTGACCTGTGTAGTGCTGTGGACATACAGAGTAGACAGGCTGTGAGTAGAAACATTTATTTAGAGTACAGTAATTGGATTAGCTCGCTGCCTGAAATAGAATGGCAGTGGCTAAATGCTAGCAAATAATGCTCTTTCCACCTCTCTGTGCCCCCAGCTAGAATAATGCCAGTCAGTTCTTTTCTTTAGATGCAGATGCTTTCACTTCTCTGCAGAATTGTAATTTGACCTTTGTTGAATCTGTGTTTCTGCCACAGCATTGCAGACTATACATTTTTCGGAGTGGGAGATGAAAAGCGTGGGAAATTGGGTTGTTAACATTATTTGATTTTTCAACCTATGTTTCATATATTCATTGCGAATCTCTTCAAAGGTTGTGCAAAAGGTAACTGAGAGCAGTAAAGTTATTACCAGGCTTTAACCCAGTAAAATATACTGGGTCTGGGCAGGAGGAGAGATTCACAAATCCAAAAGCTGAAAATCACTATGCTAGAATATCACCTGCCAGTCATGCATATTTATTGTGCAGTTAGATCCTTGACTCATGGCACTTGGTATCCCAGACGAAGCTCCAGGTCTGTGTCTTAAGATGCTTCCATATAAACATAGGTATCAAGTATTCTGAGTTGCTGTCTAATACTTTCATGACTCTACAGGGAGCCTAGACTTTCATTTCATGTGTTGGGTTGAATGCTCTTTCCTCTCCCTCCATTCTTAACTCTCAGGGCACAAAGGAGAATTTTTACTTTCCTGTTGGTATTCTATGATTATATTTAAAAGGAAATCACATTACTTGAATGCTAAGAATTATATTGCTCTTTTCTGCAGAGTTGGTTATGCAGGTGACAACTTTGTTCGCTACACTGGAGATACCATTTCAATGGCTCAGACTCAGTGTAAGTGGGTTTTGGGTTGTTTTTTTTTTTTAAGAAAATGGACTTAAGAGACTTAAGTTAACAATGCTTTCTTGCAAAAGAGAAATCTTTTTAGATTGAGGATTTCTTTTAAATTACTACAGAAATAAAGATTGTAATTTGAATGCACATGTCAGTTTTTTAGAATAAATATTGAGTGAAACCTCTTGTGTACACAGTGTTTGCTTGGGAGGCTTATGACAAAGGCTCTGAAGTTCATCTTCAAGCAGACCCTACAAAATTAGAGCTACTTTATAAATCCTTCAAAGTGAAAAAAGAAGATTTCAAGGCACAGCAGAAAGAAAGCATCCTAGAGAAGGTAATAGACATTTGGTTTTATTTAATAAGAATTCTGTTGAGTTTGAAGTCTGGGTCTTGGGGAACAAATGAGATTACTGATGCTATGTGAAAATGCATCAGCTGTTCTCAGCAGCTTAGACTTATATCTATACACACTATCCCATCAATTGGATTCATTATGTTATTTCATATAGAAACCTTTGAAGATCTGCTGGTATTTCTTCCAATTATTGGGAGCTCTTCCCTTAACTGACAGAATTTTTCCAGTGAAAAATCTGACAGCAGTACGTAGGAGGAGTGGGAATTTAGAATTTTTTTTTTTTTAAATAATACGAGTGGTTGAAAAATTTCTTTTTCTGTTTAAAAATGGTCTCTTTTGTAAAATACCCAAGTAACTGTCTCCCCAAATTATTTTAAAATTTTTCTTTTCTCTTAAATGTGAAAAGCAGAATTTTCAGACTTGAGTTTTGGGTGCAGTCTTCTAGATAAATATTTATATTTTGCTACTGGTTTCTTGGACAACTGATAAAGAACTAAATAATCCATTTAGATTCTAATCTTGTCAACATTCAAGTTTGGAGGGGGCAGGAAGTACTGCTCTGGTTATACTAGAGCCTTTTGGTTTTGTCTGAGAAGTTTTCCTGCTTTGAGTTGTAACCCTCCAGGCATTTAAAAAAAAAAAAAACCAAACCCAAAACCCAACACCCCAGAAAACCCAAAACAACAAACAAACCAACCCACCACCAAAAACCACCACAGTGGCCATAGGAGATTATTTCTCTCTTAACTATTCACTAAAGGTTAAACTGTTTCCATCCACTTATTTTGTGTCGTCTTCAGAAGGTACTGAAGGTGAAGATTTTGAAATGTATGCTTAACTACATAAAAGTGGGGTTTTTGCAAAACTATTATATGTCATTTCTGTATGCATTTTAGTATGGAGGACAAGAACATCTAGATGCCCCACCAGCTGAACTGCTGTTAGCTCAAACAGAAGATTACGTGGAGTACTCTAGACATGGAACAGTCATCAAAGGACAAGAGAAAGCTATTGCTTGCTCTAAATATGAAGAGGATGTAAAGATCAACAACCATACAGTAAGCCTTAGCTTATGTAAAAATTACAAAAAAATTAGATTCCTTCCCATTGGAAGGGATGAGGTATGGTAGGATGCAGTACAATATAATTAATACAGCAAATCAATTTCTCCTGTCTCAAATGTGACACTCTTCCTTTTCTACTAAGGATTAATTTCAAGTTGTCATGGTTGCGATGTGAATTTGAGGAGTTGCGATGGCAATCTTAAACTGAAGGGGAAGTTACTGTATTTCACTTCAACTTTGAATATGAGTTGACCACATCCTGTTGCTTTTCTCTTTTTTGAAACTGTACCTGTAAGGCTAATGTAAAATTGCAAAAGTATTTCTCGTAACTTTCCTTTCTGGATTGTTTGAGTAATTTACTTATCGGGATATAACCTCAAGAATAAATTGCAGCCTGCCTCTTACAGGAGTATCATTGTGGACATAACTGCTATGGTGTCTTCTCTTGCAGTGTATTTGGGGTTCATATTGGAAAGAAGGCAAGTGGGGTTACAAATGCTGCCACTCATTTGTCAAGTACTCATACTGTACAGGAGAAGCTGGGAAAGAAATTGCTGTAAGTATTGTCTTATTTAGTCACTTGGAAAGAGCTAAAAAGCATTCATCTTCCTACCTAAGTGTCATGGTTTAACCCCCCCCAGCAACTAAGCACCACGCAGCCGCTTGCTCACTCCCCCTGCCCTGGTGGGATAGGGGAGAGAATCGGAAGA